ATTTTTATTGTTTATATATATAATATAATTGTATTTATTGTATATATATATATATATATATATATATATATATTTTATTATCACTTGAGTCCCAAAGCCTTTTTCTCCCTAAATCTCCTCGAGTCCCAGAGCTTTTTATATTGGTTCATTGATGTCTGTCTCGTTATAGCTCATTAGGTTTTATAATTAGTGATGGGCCGAACGGCCGAAAAGTTCGAATACGAACTCGAACCTAATGCAATGGGGGTCGAACTTTCGAAAATGATTGTGCCCTTTCAATGTGCTTATATGCAAGCATAAAAGGTGTAAGTCTTTAACCAATTAGAGCTTCAGAGGGCTTTTTGCAGTATGGGATGTTGCGCGGTTGAACAAACCGTGAACATCCCATAAAGTTTGGCGACCGCGCGAACGGCCAATGTTCGATTCAAACTCATGGCTTTTTTTTGACTGATAGGGCTTTAATTTGTATGTTCTGTTTAAACATTTTGTGGTAGGTAAAATTAGATGTTATGCAGTGGCTCAACTTGGCCTGGGTGATTGGTATGCGCCTGCAACCTCTAATAAAACAATTTTCAACTGTGCTGACATTGTAGATCCTGATGTCAGTAATGCCACATTGCCATGCAGGTGCAAACATTTCTTCCTTATTGTGCCTTCCTGCTGAAAGAAAGAAGAATAATTACACCTTTTCCTTCCCTATGTTTCTATTACATATAGAAACACAAGGTTTTGTAATCTACCCTAATGTATTATATAAGTTGTTTGTTTTTTTTAAACAGATAGGGCTTTAATTTGAAAGCAGATTTGGATATACATATTTTTATTGGGAATAATTAGTAGAAATTTAGAAAACAATGCCCAAATCAATGTTTTTAAAATGTACACACTAACAAATAATTGCCCCAAACTATAAATAACAGTCTGCTGATTAAAATGATACATGGTTAGTCAGGTTGAAAAAACATTCAAGTACCTCAAAGTTCAACCAAAAGAGAGCAAAAAAAGATGAATAAATAGAAGCTCCATAAACAGAACCCTGTACCCACAGTTGTTTACAGGCGAGGGGGGAAAACCCTATAAAGCATGGTCAAATTTGCTCCTTATTTTTCTATTTTCTTTCACAATTGTTTTATTTACTTTTTATCGTCATAGGGGAACAGCTCTGTCCCAGCCTTCATATGCAAAGAAAGGGCCATGACGTCACTTGTGACATCACTACAGTCCTGATGTACATATGAGAGCACAGTGTTTATATCTGCTTCTACAACTTGCTCCTATGGAGCATTCTGTAGAAGCATCTAAAGCCCAGGAGCTCCTGGCTTAGCGATGGACATGTTAAAAAGGCAGCTGGGACTGAAGTAGTCAAGCTAAAGCACTCAGCTTCACATCCCCCAAATCCCTTCACATCAGCATACCCTAGTTATTGCCAAAATATTCAAAATATAGAATTTAGGTATGCTAGTGTCAGGACAGTATGAGAGGACTTGAATAGGCAGCACATAGAAAGACACAAGGTTGGCTGTATCTTGCAATAAAAATGAAGTACATTATATGAGAGACCATAGCCACTAATATTGTTCAGTGGCTGGACATTATGTAAGCAGCTTTGACATTATGTAAGCAACAGGCTGAAATATAAGAGGGATAGACTAGGCAGATTTATTCTTAACATTAGCACTGGAGTGTATTATCTGTGTATTATCAATAACCACAAACTTAAAGGCACAATGCAGGTGTACCCTGCAGCAAACATTAGACATTTTGCAGCTGAAGTCCAGCTACGGAAACATTGTGTACACCTTCACAATGCCTGGGCACCAGAATTACAGTGCTGGAACACCAGAATAGGCTAGCAGAGGTGACAGGAGCTGGTTGGCAGGCATCTTTTTTTTTTTGAAGGGGGGAGCCGACAATTAAAAAATTAGTCTGTAGCATCAGCAGCAGGGATTTTCTAGTCATTGGTAGTCCAAGACTGGTTCATTTTAATGAAGGTAAGCTGGTCCATACTGCCGGGGGACATGTCAATTTGCTTCTCTGTAACAAAACCTCCTGCGGTGTATATTTGTATGCATGAAGCTAGAATATACTGTAGGCTGTTCAAAAGTAAAACCTATAATGTTTAAAACAGTTAAATGCTTTTCGGTTTACAGATGGTATTTCTTTCCATGGTACTTGTTTCTTTCTGCATTCAACTGGGTACTGTTATTCAGAAAAGCATCAAAGCCTATTTGCAAGACATATGGAACTATGTGGAGGTATGCCATGCTCTGAATATTTTTGTTATGTTCCTTTTAAACAAGTAAATCTAAAATCCTCTGTCTTGCAAAAAGTTAGTTTGCATTAGAGTATAAATAATGTTCAAGTGTCCCCCATTTCATATTCAAGATTCATGTGCAGTGATATTCAAGCACTTTGCAACTGCTATCCTCCAAGCTGAAATGATGCTTTGGTAATAAAATAAATGTTAAAAAAGGAAGTAGCTTTGAGTTATGTGGCTCCCTTTGTTTGTAGCTTGGCACCTCAGCCATCACTGCCTTTTATCACTTTACCAACTGCATTGCATTTTTCCAGTGCAGCAGTAGAAAAGGCAATTTGCCTTGTTATAAATGGGCTCAGTTCACACCACCATGTTGTGTTGGAGGGCACTGAAAAAAATTACTGCATACAGTACTCTCTTTTTTTGCGCTGTGGGCCATGAACTGGTACAATCGCTCACACTTCGCTGTGCCCATAGAACATCTAAGCAAAAAAAAATGTACAGTGCAATGTGCTGGGATCGGCTTATTGGCACTGCAACTGGTAACGCACACCAGCAGCTTTGCGCTGTAGAGCAGCTGCTGCTGTGAATGCAGCTTTAATAAAAAAAACATTAGCAGCATAGTGGCTATGGAGTCAGGACTCTTGCTTTACGGAGTTATTTTTTTCTTTCTTTATTACAGGTATTTATATAGCGCCGACAATTTTACGCAGCGCTTTACATAGTTCATAGTATGCACATTCACATCAGTCCCTACCCTCAAGGAGCTTACAATCTAAGGTCCCTATCTCACATGCATACATCGAGGGCCAACTTAAACAGGAGCCAATTAACCTACTAGCATGTCTTTGGCGTGTGGGAGGAAACCGGAGTACCCGGAGAAAACCCATGCAAGCACAGGGAGAACAGGGCAAACTCCTTGCAGTTAGTGACCTGGCCGGGATTCTAGTGCTGCAAGGCAGTAGTGCTAACCACTACGCCACTGTGCTGCCCATGTTGTTATGATCTGAGTTATGATCTGATTTAAATTTTCACTAAGGGCCTTATTTGCATAGTACTTATGTATTCTCCCCATGTTTGCATGCATTTCTTCTGGATACTCCCATAAACCAAAACCAGACTTGTAGGTTATTGTCTATATATGTGTCTATATGATTGTGGAGGGATATTAAAGCGTACTGTATGCAAAGCCAAAACTTTTATTTTTGGTATTGGGTAGTGTATGGAAGGGCTTTTTTTTTCTTTTTGGTGGCTTTGGCTCTGCTGAGTAGGATTCACCCACTCTTTTGGTCCTGGTGACTATTGCCTGTACTCATCACCCACTCTATCCCAAATGAAAACATTTTGTCTTTACATACACTTTAAAGGCTAAGTTGCTTTCAAGAGCAATGACTGATGTGAATTTTTCTATATACTCTACTGTGCTGTGAAATATGTTGATGCTAGATAAAAGAATAAAATAAAAATAAACATCTTAAAAAGCTGAACAGTTTCCACCATCAACTTAACAATACTCTGAGAAGAATAGGATACATGCAATCCGGCCTGCTACGGGGTCTATTTATTCATATTTGAATGGAGCGGTGTTAGGGCATTACCTTTGAATTTCATAACATCATCTGCTTTAAATGTTTCAAAAACAGAGTTTATGGGCATAGATTTTTTTTTTTTTAAAGTGTATTAAAATTAATATAAAATGTGTTCCTAAAAATTACAGTACTTTTAGGTCATATCTGTTGAATGAGTTGTTTTGAGTCTTCTGAGCACTGGTAATGTAATAAGAAATTCTGTTATATTTCTTATTTGTTACTCTACAAGCAGTTTAACTGTACAGCATGTAGATTTATATACTTTCTGGCTGATGTAGGCTCATTATAAGTTCATTATTGTCCAATACACATTTTCAGTTCTATTCTATGTAGAAATATTATATTATAAGAACAGTTCCAGAGAGCATTGCTGTGATAGGCATCATAATTTGCTTTCCCCACTTTTCTCTCTGTGGTCATGTTTTGCCAAAGTTATTTTTCATTTAAATTTTGGATGCAACCAGAGTAAAACCTCTGTCTGTTTTGTATGGCTGTCTGTATGTCTACTGGGGAAACTTTCCCTCACTTGATAGCTGATGGTAGGCTTTAAACAGTTAGAAAAATGTCTTAATATACATTGCAAATTCCATGTAAATGAAAAACATTTCTGTTATGCAGGTATCAATAATCGTGTTCAGCTTGTGTTATTTCATTAGCCGGTTCTACTATTTCATGTTTGTTGTTGACCTTGTTGATCATCTTCAGAGAGGATTTTTCAGACAATTCATAAATGTCAGCTTGATTGCGGATTATGAAAAGGTAAGATATTTTTGCTACATATTTAGCTTCTTGTTATGCTGATTAGCAGTAATTAGCAGGTGGCTTTATTTACCCCAAATTATGTCCATTGTTACTGACACTGGTGGAAGGAAAATGTAAAACCCAATTTCAGTTAGAAGCCATTTTATCTAAGCAACGAGCATTGATAAAACTGCAGTAAATTCAACATATCCCTTTTCAAGTTGTATATAAATATGGTTGGTTAATGTTGAAACACAAAAATACAGGGACTGAATGAGGTGGTGATTTTGTAAAACTCTTTGTTATAGGAAATCATATTCTGCTAAAATGTGAAATGATGAAAACATGATTTAGGATCATTAGCACCTCCTTTTTTCCTCCATAACAAGCAAGTTAAGGGATTAAAAGTCATGTTGCAAATAAAGGTATACCAAAGACCCGGGTTGTGAGGAATCTTAAAGATTCTTAAAGATTTTGTTATGGCTATCCATTCATCCATTGTATTTTGAATTTTAAACAAATTGCAATGTTCCAAGGGAAGTACTTTCAGTACTATGTGCATAACCTGAAACTTTACTGCAATCATGGCTAGTTTGGTAGTTCCTGCTCCTAGACCAGCTGTCTTTGGCCACCTCCTTCTTCCCTAGTTGGCTGGATGGCTGGCGTTAGCATCACAGTAACAAGATCAAACACCATAGCCATACAAGGCATACCGATGCTGGAGATGGAAGGAGAGACTGAAAGACATTATTTGCCAGTGCACTACTGACAACTTTAACAGGAGGGCAAACTCATCCTATTCTGACAGCAGAATTGTTCTATGTGTACAGACCTAGAATTGGTGAACTGTGCAGTATACAATATAACACCAAGAAAAATTAACAAATGGTAAAGAGACAGGAACAATGGGGACCCAGTGTGATTGCACTGACAGGCAAAGAGTGAGTTTGAAACTTTTTATTATACAAAGGAATTTGTTACTCACAGTCAGCAACATGATGTGTGGGCGGTTGTGTGATGTCCCTAGCAGTTTTGCATTCCTGCGCTATGGAAAAAAAAGGAAGAGTTGTCAAAAATACCTAATTTTGAAGAATGATAATATGCAAAAAATTATTAAAATGTGTAGGTATAAATGTATGCAAAATTTTAATCAATATGGCTTACCATTTGTTTTTCTACTCCTATAGTGGATTCGGCATTTGCATGGGATCATTTTATTTTTTATGACATTTAAGTTAATAAAGATGCTCCATTGTTATAGAATGATGGCTCCTTGTATAGCTAAATTTCACCGCTCTTGCTCCAGCTCAGCATTTACCATGGTAAGAATATTCTTCTATCGTTTCACTTCAACATAACTTAATTGAGTCCCTACATTTCTGCAAAACAAAAGTGACACTTATATTTCAAATAAACTGCACTTTGTAAGGATATGTAAAATGTGAAAAAAAATGTGAGCTATAAAAAAAAGTGGTGGCAGCATCACCAACTTTCCTCTGCAGCCTATCATGCAGCATTTTATTCCTAGCAGCTATAGTGGCTGCAAAGGGTGACAATGCTGCAGTGATTTTCCTGCTGAAACACTGCTGGCAGCCTCTTTGGGGAAATAGTTTTTACTAAAAACATCACCAGGAATTTATTTAATGTTGAAGGGTAATAGTAATTATATAATGTCTGAGAAAGGCAGCTTAACATATATTTTTAATGAATGTCTGCAGTTCTATCTTAAAGCGCACCTTTCCCCTCAAAAATCAAATTCTACCAATGCATCCCTCTATGCATGATAATAATAACATGTCAGGTGTAAAATGCTGTCATTTTGAAATACTTGCATAGCATTTACTTCCTGCTTTGAAAGGGCAAAAAAGACTTCAGTTTGCCAAAACAATGCACACTGGGATTGCCTTCTAATTAGCATGAAAATCAACTAGTCATTTTTTTAATTCATTTTTGTTTTTGCCATTATTACCTTGCATTTTTATGCCTAATCACTCTTAAGCTGGCCATACAACTATAGATTTTCTGCAGACTTTCTATGGTCAGATGGAAAAAGTGCAACAGATTCCTCCATCTACGCTAAACTGTGTGGATAGAGCAATCTCCCACTGGGCCAAGCTTCAGTATCTTGCTAGTCGGCTCCGCTGGCTCTCGAAATACCTGAACAATGCCTGCATCCAATCAGATAGTTCAAGTATTTTGTCAGCCAACAGAAAAAAAAAAAAAAAAAGTTAAAAAAATTATAAAAAGTAGTAAATAAATAAATAAATAAAAAACCCATCCTGGAGGCGGGTAGGGTGACGTCACACACCTGTTGGGTGGGAACAATTTTTTGCTTTTGCCCCGGGCACAAAAGGAGCTAGCTACAGCTCTGGCATCACAAGTGTTTATCAACCTTTTTATTTTAATTTACAGCTGATGCTTGGCATTAACTTGAGTGTCTAAACCTGTTGTTGACCAGTATTCCGAAGTCATTCTTTATCTCTGTTTTTCCCTATATTTTATTTAATGTGAATGGGATAATGCTATCCACCTGGCCATTTACCTGCTTGTTTTGGCATTTTGTAAAAATACTTTGGTAACATCCTACTATTTGATATATGAAATATCATGATTTGTAATAATTTTACAAAATGTTGTGTCATTCGCCAAATCCAATTAATGCCCAGATTATTATTAAACATGTTGGAAAGAACGGGACATAGCACCAATTCCTGTGATACACCCCTGCTGAACTTAGCCTTTTTAGAATATATTCTGTTATTTACTACCCTTAGCTGTCATTTGAACAATTTTTGTACTCCTGTATAAACAACTGTATTTGAAAGAGCTCCAGGCAGAAATAATCTTAACACCCTGCAGGGGGCTGATCCTCCCTGCAGGGGACTAGAGAGAACTACAAATCCCTGGGAAACATTATACAGCAATACAGAATACCACAAGCTACAGAGGACTAGTAATCCCAGCAATAGATTATACTATAATACAATGTACAGGATGGAAGCGGGGGCAGATGTACAGGATGTCTGCGGGGGCAGATGTACAGGATGTCTGCAGGGGCAGATGTACAGGATGGCAGCAGGGGCAGATGTACAGGATGGCAGCAGGGGCAGATGTACAGGATGGCAGCAGGGACAGATGTACAGAATGGCAGCAGGGGCAGATGTACAGGATGGCAGCAGGGGCAGATGTACAGGATGGCAGCAGGGTAAGATGTACAGGATTCAGCAGGGGCAGATGTGAGTGTGATGGGATGTTATAGAACATACACAAACAAATTATAAATCTTCCAGAAACACAATCACTGTTTAGTAACCCCTTTTTATAAGGCGTCTGATCACACTGTCTGTAACCCTAATAAACGACAAAAACACAATTTAGTTCATACCCGCAGCAGGTTTCAACTGAAGAGGTTTTTTAAGGACCGGGACCAAACGCCTAAGTGTTGTTAATATGAAAAAGTTTATTTGAAAAAAATCAAGCATCAAAAAAGTGAATAATCAGATTGCATCTTCCCATTAAAAACCATTGACAACGTTGTCCAAATCCATTCCCACTCATACAGACAGGCCCAGCACACTTGCTAAATAATGGAAAATCACTGTTGCTGGATCTATCACTGACTCTGTGGAGGTCATGGAGGGTTTAGAGGGTTAATAAGGACAGCAGAAAGTCCACGGACACCAATCTCTTACTGAAAAATGGCCTGGATGGGAAGGGGGTTTAACACCGCGGATGTCAACTGGCTAACCTAAAATGGAATTCTTTAGACAAATGGAAATTCCAGACTTAGTTGTACTGATCCCCTTCCTCCAGGTAGAGTATGGTACATCCAAAAGTCTTCAGCGATATCCACCAGTGGTGGTCTCCTCCAGAGTGCGAGTAATGACACTGTGAGGAGACTGGTGGATATCGCTGAAGACTTTTGAAGGCATCAAGAATGCGTTCCAGTGCGTTCGGCCTCTGGAACCCAGCCGACTCACTTTGTTTTGGGGCGGGAGGGGGGCGTGGCAGTGCATTGAACTCAATTTAGCAAGTGTGCGGAGCCCGTCTGTATGAGTGGGAGTGTGAATGGACGTTGTGGACAGCGTTGTCAAAGGTTTTTAATGGGAAGATTAGAATATGAAGTTTCACTTTTTTGATGTTTGATTTTCTCTATTAAACGTTTTCATATTAAAATCACTAAGGCCTCGTTCACACCAGATGCAGTGCTTCCGACCTGATTCTGGCCAGAACGCACTGCAGCCGGCTCACTTTTTTGTGGGGGCAGGAGGGGGCGTGGTGGGCCATTGAAGTGAATGGCACCATAGCCACACCCTCTGGTCGCAATGCGATGGACCGCACGGGATCGCAAGGCACATTATGCCTGTGGTCCGGTCCGGTCTGGTGCGATCAAAATGCTGCAAGTACTATGCAATCCTGTGCGGCCGATCGCATTGCAGCTGAAGGGCATGGCTACGGTGCCATTCACTTCAATGGCCCATCACGCCCCCTCCTGCCCCACAAAAAAGTGAGCCGGCCACAATGCGAGGCAGTGCATTCTGGCCAGAATCGGGCCGTAACGCACTGCATCCGGTAGCTCTAAAGCCGTTTGGTCCCGGTCCTCTTCAGTTCATACCTGCTGAACCCAGATGAACTAAATGGTGTTTTTGTAATAGAACACAGAATAGTTGAAACTTTCAAGTTCAGCTATCTATTCTGTGTTCTGGAATGACGAGTAGTCTCCTCAGCCGTCTGACACTGTCCTCCTGGCTGGTGTCAGTTTACACGGCCGGAGGAAGCAGCACGGGGGAGACCAAGAAAAAAACCCCATTAAATCACTCACCTTGTCACAGACGTGCTGGTCTCGGTCTCTCAGCAATGTGAAGCCGCTGCACGCTGGGTCCTCACGCCTGAGGCCCCCAGGGCAGCCCCATTATTGCCCGTAAATCTTTCATTCGCCCGCTTGTCACTGCCTGGCAGACCCCCCCGACTCTGCACCCGGGGCAGATGTACCGGCTGCCCCCCGGTTGTTACGGCACTGCCTTAGAATGCTGTAGTAGAGGGGGAGTGAGGCTAAAGGGACCAGTCTAGCAGCCAGCCATCTCCAAGGTTCAAGTGAGTATATTATTTTTGTCCTTAGACAAAAATGAGCACTTATCCTTTGCAGTGTGGAGGTAGCCCCACTGTAAGGGTTAAGATTATTTCTGCCTGGAGTTCTTTAATTTTTTCATACTAAAATTCTGTTCCAAGCTATTATGAGGAACTGTATTGCATTCTGTAAAATGTAACCTTCTATTTTTTTTTTTTTCATTGCAGCTCATAGGAATTGTGTTCATGCTGTGCTATTCATCTTTGGGACATATAATCATTTCCTCTGATCACTATCCTTTCACTAGTGTGCTGCAGTGTATCCAGAACACCTTTACACAATTCCTAAGAATCTATAGACCAAAACATATAAAAAAAATTAATGTTCAGGTTAAATGTAACCAAGCCTGGTTGGCTGAAGTGTATGGAATACTGTTTGCTGTTTTAATACTTTTGTGGACTGGAATGGTAAGTATAGAAGTTCAAGTAAAAAAGAAAATGATTAAAGTTACTCTGTCACAATTTTTAACACTTTGAAAGTGCTCCTTCCTAAGCAAACAAACAATACTTATTGGTCCCTCTGCCTGCGCCACCAAACTCTGCATTGAAGAAAGAAAATGTTTGAGAGATGTTCTGCAACTGACACTTTGGCTTTGATTTTTCCATTGTTTAAAAATAGCAACAGAGTTGCTTTAACTTGTAATGCAAAGTGTGCTGGTTCCTAATAACTAATTTGGAATAGTATGTTTTATTTATCTGTTATTGTCATTAGTTATGTGCCCTATATTGTGTTTTATTCACACGAACAGCAAGGGGCGGCCACTGTCGAGAATCACTAGGGTTCTAGGGTTAGGCTATCAGTATATTTTCTTTCCAGTTTGAATGTACTATACCAATAGTTGGAACTGAGAACTGAGAAGGCAATAAATACTTATTTCCTATGTTCCCCAGCGCCATCTAGACCTGGAAACAAAATATAGTAATAACATTTGGTTTTTACCATTCGCAGAGAAAGAATGTAAATGATACTGTGCGCGTGTGTGTCTGTCTGCCTTGACAGAGCGTGTGTAAGAATCTGCCCTGACACTCTGAGTGTGTTTCTCCCCTGGCACTGTGTGTTTGCAACTGCTTTGAGACTGTATGAGTCTGTCTGCCCTGAAACTTTGTATGCTTGCATTGACACTGTGTATGTGCTTTGCATTTGCTGTGTGCTGTAAGTAGGGAGGGGTGACCCACTCTACTTCCTGGTATGCAGTCAGTCCTGGGTCAGTTTACTCAAGTGAGGGGGTGGGGGGGAGAAGAAGCGAACACACACACACATTTACGAAGATTGTAATATTGCAAATGAGAGAAGTGTAATCCATGAATGAGGAGTAAAGCTGAATGCGCGGAAGACCCCGATATTGCTACTAGGAAGCAGGAGATGGCCTTCTGCTGGAATGGCACATTAACACATAAGAGCAGAGCAGAATTGCAGTTGGAGTATGCTCACTGAGACTATAAAACTGTACTGGAGAAATAAATCCCCCAATGCTTCTTACAGGAAATGCTTTTCTCTTTTTATATAATAAACAAAGAAAAAGCTGCTTTATTTGTGAATATTACTTTACTAATAATTTTTCAAATTAAATGGGCAGTAGATTTCATTCTTTTTCCCACTGTGATTATCTTAAATAAAACATAGCATGCAAGTTCAGCATATGAAATTGTTTAGCAAAGGGACAGTTTTCCTAGATGTGGATATTCATGCTCACAGGCTTCAGTTAAAATGTGTCCTTTACCAGGCCCATGTGTAGTTAAAATCGATTGCAGAAATGATTATGACTTTTTTACATACCTGATTGGTTCTAAATGATCTCTAATTCACACTGAGCCTGCTTTAAATGCGCCCCCACATTGTTTTGCATTGACATTTTACAAAAAGAAAGAACAAATATAAAAACGGTTTTGTAATCATTGATTTTTGCCTACATTGATATTGATAATTTTTGTTTTTGCTATCATTTTGATAGTTTAAAGGAGTCATCACTTCAGTAGCAAAGTTTTCTAAAAAAGTACATCGCAGCAAACATTTTGTGACATTTAAAGAAGTTGTATCTCATGCAAAAGGACTGATCCTTTCAGTTGTTGATCGACACAGACAGAAGAGCACCGACAGCATTTCTATAGCTGGAAATGTAAGTGACAGAATACTCCAAATGATGGTGTTTACTTAATATGGCCAGCAACAAATCTTCTGAATCAACTATGTGTTTAAATACTTGGCAGTCATATTTTCCACTCATAGCCATTAAAGTACAAGTATCAAAAACAGCATAACTGTACAATATTGAGCCTTAAACTGAAAGTAAGGGTACCAGCAAACGGAGGCACACTGTTTTACAGATATGTAGAATTATAAAGTCAACCTGTGGCCATGGGCAACTGCTAGCACCATGATAGTCTATACAGACAGTTTTCCTACAAAGTTCCCTGCTAACCTTATAATTGTGGTTCAGTGGTAAGTGATCAATGAGCAATCTCTCCTAACCTTCCTCACCTCCCTAATGGCAACAGAATGTGATGGGCATGCTCACTGGCCAATAGGGAGATAGGGAAAGCAGGAAGGGCTGGACTACACAGCCAATCATGAGAGTTCTGGTCACTTGTTTTCTGGGAAAATTTTAGGATTAGTGTAGTACTTTGTTGGAAAGCTAATTCTGTGGGCAGTCTGCATGGGTAGGCTACCCTGGAGAGGCAGAGAGCTATGTGAACAAAATGGAAAAGATCTAAGATCACCATGGTGCAGTGTGCTTTTTTGTTTTTGTTTTTAGGGAAGTAGACTAGTGAGGCCTCATTAAAAAGTATGGAAGGTTTGAAGAGTTTACAGATAAGTTGGAAATAATGCATTGTTCAGGGGGACAGCCGTAAGTACTGTACAGTTCAGAGGTCTGTAGTATGGAGTGTTAATTTAGTCGACTAAAATGTTTTGTCATAGTGTTCGTCATCTGCATGTTTTCAGTGATGAAAACTAAATAAAAACAAAGTTAATAGGACTAAAACTATGACGAAAATGCATTGCATGTTTTCTCCACTGGAGATTTAGTTGACAAAATTAAACTAAAATAATTCAGATGACTAAAATACGCATTTTAGTTTAAGTTGCATCTTAGTCATGTGAATTATTTTAGTGTTAGTTTAGTTTTCGACTAAATCTCCAGTAGAAAAAATTGCAATGTATTTTCGTCATAGTTTTAGTCCTATTAACTTAGTTTTCGTCATCTGCATGTTTTCACTGATGAAAACGAAATAAAAACTGTGACGAAACATTTTAGTCGACTAAATTCACACTGGTAGTATGTAAATTCTTTTTAACTAGTATGTGACTTGGTGTATATTCATGTGATTTGTGAAACATATTTCAAAAGTAGCCACATCCCAAAACACTCACTAATGTTTTTTTGTTTTATTTTTAAGAATTACTATTTTGATGAATTTGAAGACCTGATAGATGAGCTTCTGTTTCGACTAAATGCCATATCAGACAGCCTCCATCATTCACTTCCTGCAAAATCACATAGTTACACTGAAGAGGAGGATGATCACAATAACCTTGATACTTGCTCTAATTTCTCTTTTAAACAAACAACCACAGAGGTACAATATATGTGTGTACTGTATATAACAATGTACTATATTTATCAGTGGTGTCAACTTAAAAATTATAGAGAGCCTCAAGTTCGACCCAAGACACTTCCAGAGTGGCCACAAAATACCAACTCATTTTCATGTGTTTAAGTACATTTCTTTATGCAAGCTGAAAAGAAAGTGGGAGTAAAAAAAGCACCATCATTGGTGTCAATGGCAGTAATAGTAACTACCAGCATTGGTGTCAGTGACTGAAATAAGACCACCAGCCACAGTACTAGTATCAGTTGCCTCAATAATAAACCAGCAGCATTCTTGGCGGTCCCCGCAATAATGACCTCCAGCTTTGGTGCCTGACAGCAGCAATAGCCCCTACCATTGGTGCCAGTGACCACAATAATAACCCCCAGAATTGGTATCAGTGACTGCAATAATAGCGCCCCAGCAGTGGTGTCAGTCACTGCAAAAATAAGCCCCAGAACTGGTGTCAGTCACCTGCTCCCATGTACTCTCTTCCTGATGAGTCAACCCGGACTATATTTCTACTGTCAGGCAGAGATCATTATGACTGACAGTACTGGCTTCATTTTGGTGTAGCATACTACTGCCACTTTGCAGTGCCCAATATGCTGCTGGCCACACAGAGCAGGCTACGGTGTTGGTTACTTGATTGTGGAATCACAGGGGGAAGATTTTAGCTATGGCACAACACATTATTTTGTTGTTGTGTGCTTTACAGTTAATATAGAGGTTAACATTACAACTGACTGCTCCATGAAAGGGTATCAGAAGGTGGTAGGCTAGTGAATAAAATGTAGAAATATTTTTTAATGCTTACTTAATTTTAGTTATAGAAGATCTGGATTGAGGTACCCCACCTTCAACCAACAACCAGTCTTGTTGTGATCTGCTTTTACCCAGATTTTAAGCACTTCAGACTCTGGAGTAAGGCTAAGGCCAGCTATCTAAATATAATAGCCAATAATAAAGTAAAGACTAGCCCACCAGGAAGTAGATTCTGTAGCAGGATTTAAAGAAGTCCCATAATAGCAAAAAAGTTACACCAATGTTTTGATAGCATGGCGGCCCTCTTTTTCAACGTGACAGAGAAAAAGAGGACCACCATATGCTCAAACAGTTGGTGTAACATTTTTGCTGATATGGGACTTCAGTAAACCCTGCTTCAGAATCTACTTCTTGGTGAGCTGGTTTTCTCTTCATTGTTGGATTTTGTACGGTACCACCATAAAGCCATGCACCCTCCCTTCACAAGGGTTGCTTATGGTGCTTTTTGTTTAACCCAGGAGGCTAAATGTATGTCCAGGCAGGTCTATTTATGTACATTACATGTGTTAAATGCTATTTTGTTTTGGTGAAGGTCCATTTTACTTACTTTAGCAATATGTTTCTATTAACTTTAATTAAAAGTGAAAAGTACCCTTTGAAGAGAATTCCATCCGCTTCCTGTCCACAACAGGAAATTAAAGGAATGATCTACAAAGTGAGGAAAATGCCTTCTTAGAGGGTTATTCACAAAGGAGCTGAAGGATATAGCCATAGCTTCGGGTAATCCTTCGGCTCACTTCGACCGCCAGAGACCTTTGGTCCAGCTAAACCGAAGGGCTGCTGTATAGGCTATTCACAATAGCCCGTACAGCAGCCGAACTGCTCAACCGAGCCGAACGCATATGCTTAGGCTGAGCCGAAGTCACAGCCGAAGCGGGGAAAACGGCCTGCCTGCTAAAGTAAACACATTTTTTAACAAGGTGGTGGGCACAGGTCCCCACCACCAAGTAGGTCAGAGCACCACCACACCTCAAAGACCCATGTTGCCCCGGTGGTGGGATCACTACAAGGCATAGAGCAAAAAATTGGCAGAGGAGTAACCCCTGCGAATAGTTGACCAAGATGCTGCAAAATAATACGTTACAACAGACAAACAGGAAGGGAGAGAGAAAGTGAGGGGTAAAGAAGACAGGAGGAAAGAAGGGAGAAGGGGAAAAAAGAGGGTAGGGTGGAGCCCACAACTACGGTCTGGAGAAGGGCAACCGCCAGACGTCCCACGGTAACACCACCGCAGGCACAGGGTAGCAAAGGTACAGGAGAAACTCACCGTAGAGACCGGTACTCAGAATCCAAGAACAAAATCCAAGGCATCCACCTGGCCAAAAAGGCATCAGATCGGTCAGCCCGATGTGTTATTCGCTCCTCAGATCTCATCAGCCGACATAATTCTAGTGTCCATTCCAAAACATAAGGAAAAACAGGGGAATTCCAATGCCTAGGTATTAAGGCTTGGGCAGTGTTGACAAAAAATCGGAGTAGGGATTTCTTCACCTTAGAGATAGAGCCCGGGAAGATGAACAGTAAAGCCATTATAGGCTTAATGTGAAATTCAGTAGAGGTAACTTGTGAGTAGACGTGTGAAGCGGCTCGCCAAGCGGGCAGGAGCAGAGGGCAGCTCCACCAAATGTGGGTCAGCATACCTCGCTCAGTTTTACATCTCCAGCAGGTGTCTGAGTGCGTTGGGCAGATTTTGTGCATTCTAACCGGTGACCTATACCACCTGGTCAACAAATTAATTCCGCTCTTGCGCATACATTGACATACAGAGCGTGTGGGTGAAGCAAAGGCATCTGTGTCGGTCTTCTTCCGAGAGGACAAGCCCCAGTTCCTGTTCCCAGGCCAAGAAAAAGTATAGCGAATCCCCACTAGTCATAGAGATCAAAGAGTGATAGAGCATAGAAACGCTGGAATCGGCAGAGCCACAGCACACAATCTCTCAAAACAGGTGAGGGGCCAATAAAAGGTTGCCCGAAGAGGACAAGAATTTCATATAGTGTCGGAGATGAAGGAAGGCTAACCAAGAGGCACATGGCGGCGGATTGGGGCTAAACAGTGATGTAAGCGACTTCGGGGCACTACCAAGCAGACTTTGGAAGACATAGGAGGGTGCAGTGGCCTTCCAGCACAGAAAGGTAGGAAAACCAAGGTTGGCTAAAATGGGGGTCTTAGGACCCTGAAGTGTACACAGGTTATATCTGGGCATCGTGGTGTTCCACACCCACAGCACCAGGGGTGGAAAGGGGACCGGGGGAAAGGTCCCGTTCAAGAGTAACCCAAAGCGTGGGATCGAGAGGATCAAACCAAGCTACCAGGATCTTTTTTCTTTATTAAAATAGCATATCGAAGTCTAGGCTTCTTATTCCTCCAGATGTACCGTAGAACGGCTGAGCATATTCGTTTAAAGAAATGGGCAGTAAGGAGTATAGGAAGGGTTTGGAATAGATATAGGCAACGAGACAGCAAGTGCATCTTGAACAGGGCGATTCTACCGAACCAGGTGTGGTGCAAATTCATCCAGGAGGTAAGTGTATCCTCCACTGATTGCAGCAGAGGGACAAAATTGAGCGTGTAGAGATCCGACAGGTTAGCCGGCACCTGGACCCATAGGCACGTAATATAGTCCGAGCGCAAGGTAAAGAGAAACGAGCCACAGAGACTATCTCGCTCAGCTAGGGGTATCGACACATCTAAAAGTTCACACTTCTGCCGGTTCATACGGTAGTTGGAAAAGAACCCGAACAGTTTAAATTCCTGCATCATGGAAGGAAGAGCCACCAGGGAGTTGGAGAGGTAAAGCAGCAGGTCATCAGCATATAACCCCAATTTATGAACCTGAGTGCCTATTTGTAGGCCCCGCATCGAGTGAATAAGTTTAATGGCACTGGCCAAATGCTCCATAACCAGGATGTAAAGCAAGGGGGAAAGGGGACATCCCTGTCTAGTGCCGTTATGTATTTGGAACAGGGCAGAAAGTGACCCGTTCACCCGCACCTTGGCATCAGGCCCAGGCTTTTGCCCGGAGGAAGCGACTTAAGGACTTCAAGGTCAGTAAGAGGAGCAGTAAGATCCTGCAGGGAATGCCTCGGGAGGGGGGGAAGGGCCGTGTGATCAGGGTAAATCTAGACAAATAGTGAGTAGACTGGGCAGCAGCCGGCTGGGCCTGTAAATTGTATAAGGAGGAAAAAAACTAATTAAATTCCTCCGCTATGAGCACCAAGCTATGGACCACCCCGTGTTTGGCCGACTTAATCTTAGGGACATAAAAACGGAGCCGTTGCCCACGAACAGAACGTGCAGGTAAACGTCCACTTTTATCACCATGTTCGTAAAAAACACTGCGCACCCGTTCTCTATGGGAGAGATACTCAGGATCTAAGAGCCTCTTAAGTTCCAGATGTACCCTTGTCAGATCCTGCAGCAAAGAAGGGGATGGCAACTTTTTATGTGCAGTTTCCAAAGAGGCAAGGTCAGTCTGTAAAGAGTAGCACCCCTCTCCCTCTTCACACGGGAACCGTGCTTTATGAACACCCCACGAACAGTGGCCTTAAGGGCCTCCCACTGGGTAGGGGTGGGGGTAGGATCAGCTGTATGATCAGCGAGAAAATTGGTAATTGTAGCGGTGATGTCGGATTTACAAAGAGAGTCAAGAAGAAGATTCTCATTCAGCTTCCAGGAGTAAGAGGGTTTGCACGTATTCGGTACCTCTAGGGAAAGAAAGATAGGGCAGTGATATGACCAGATTCGAGTGCAAATGGCAGTAGGTGGGGCCCAAGAGAGAAAATGATGGGAGATCAGGAAGAAATCTATCCTGCTATAAGAGGTATGTGGGCCGGAACAGCAGGTATAATCCCTGTGGCGTGGGTGTTGGATCCTGAAGGCGTTTCTTAAGCCTGTTAAGGGAGGAAAAGGAGATCTGAGATCTCCCGGAGGTAGTGTCTAGGCTAGGGTCAAGCACCAAATTAAAATCACCACCCAAGATCAGAACACCTTCAGTGAAATCCGCAAGCTGAGAGAGAATAGTCAACAGGGGAATCTGATACACATTAGCCAAGGTGGACTTCTTGTTTTGTATGGAGCATTGTACAAAGCCATACCTTCCGTCAGGGTCGACCCGTTCAGCGAGTATCTCACACGTCAAAGAGGAGTGGAATCCTATCGCCACT